TTTCTCGGGATTACTATGAAATTTCGAATTGTTTCGACATATGCTTGAAAACTAAGAAGGCAGACCAATTTTCAAAGCTTCTTAGTTCCTTTGTTTGTGATCGAATAGCTTCCAAATTTCGCCATAATGATACCTATATGCTCACAAGTAATAAACAATAGCTAGAAGAAAAATTTCTCCACGGGGAAAAATTCAGGTCCGAAAGGGTTAAAGCGCGCGATTTCGGAGAGTGGAGACAAATCGATCGATGGAATAGGATGGAGTAGAAGTGTAAGATGTGAATGCAACGAAGCAGAAGGCCAGAAAGAGCTTCTAGTGAATGCACTCCAAGAACCAAGTTTGAGCATCCCCGTCGCCAGCATTCGTGAAAGACGTCCGTGGGCAATTCGAACGCGTAGCAGCCTTTTCGAGTTTTCGAATTTCTAATCAAAACGAAAGCAATACTTCAGTTCTTTTCACTATTATCGTGGATAATGAGTCTCAAGCCAGTGATTTATGGCTGAAATAGAATCATGATTTTTCCAGGATTCCTTTAACTAGTCGTTCTAATGAAGGTGCCTCCATATCCTGTTGATTCACTTGACTTCTACTTCGTCCTCATGTTCTTTCGTACTAATTCGGGGCGAACTATTCTGTGGTGCTTGCCCCATCATGGAGCTTGTATCATGGACTCTCCTACATTCTTGTAGTTGAAATTGCAGCTCTCCAGACGGTAATTCGAAACGATGGAGGCTTTTGGATACGCGCTAAAAACCCAAATTAACAGGAAACATGAATACTTAGCCATAACTAGTGGACTCGCCTTTTTTCGCCGAATTTCGTGGGCTCCGAGCGCCATCGGCTCAAGATTAGTCGACCGGTACTTGTGTTTTACGATGCCCCCTCAGTTTTTGGTTTATGGGGACTATTTCGAAGTTAGAAATGATGTCTGCGGTAGGTCGCACTGATCTTTGACTTTCCAGGCTCTGACGAAGGCGAAAAGCCGAAACGTTAGCCGAATAAAGCTCTTGTATCATCTTGGCTTGTGGCTTCAGAGGCAATCCTTGAAAGGGTGCCATTAGACTTTTGAAACTCTTCTTCTTCTCCCTAGCGTTAGTCCCGCGCAGTCGCAGGGTCCGCTGTCTTTGTCAGTCGTCGCCACTTTGCTCTGTCCAGGGCATCTTCTGCTGTGGCCATGACTTCACTTAGGTCCTTCTTGATACGTCTCTCCACCTCTTCTTTGGGGCTCCTCGCGGTCGCTTGCCTTGCACTTCGAAGTCCATCGCTGTTCTTATCGGATGATCCTGTGGCCTCCTTAGCACGTGCCCATACCATCGCAGACGCTGTTCCCGTACCTTCAGCTGGACAGGGGCAGTCTGCATGACCGCTCTGACATCCTCGTTTCTGACCCTGTCCAGCCGCGTCCAGCCGCAGGCCCATCTCAGCATCCTCATCTCAGCGGAGTGAAGCTGCCTTTCGTGATTCTTGTTCAGGGGCCAGCACTCGCTGCCGTATAGCATCGCAGGCCTTACCACTGTCCGGTACACCTTCCCTTTGAGCACCTTCGGTCGCAGAGGTATAGGAAGTCCTCCACCCTTTCGACAGTGAGGATACCAGAACACAAATTGATTTTGTCCTCGTCAGGCAGCGTGATAGAGGGCTAGTGACGGACGCGAAGACGGTGCCGTACGAGACGGTCGCCACGCAACACCGACCACTGATTTGCACGCTGAAGATCGCCCCTCCGAAAGTAAAGCAAGTTGAACGGTGTGGGCCTGCAAGGATCAAGTGGTGGCGACTGAAAGAAAAAGAATCTGCGCTGTTTTCCCGCATTCGCTTACCGACAGTAACGACTGTCGACGAAACGTGGAAAAGTGCCACCGAAGCGATAGTCCGTGTCGCTCGCTCCGAACTCGGCATTACAAAGCCTGGGCGGCGGAAAATTGACAAGCAAACATGGCTGTGGACGGATACTGTCAAGAAAAAGTGCGAGAGAAGAAAAGATCTATCATACGTTCCTCAACGACAAAACAGCCGAGAACTGGGAGAACTACCAGAAGGCGAAGAAGGCTGCAAAGAAAGCCGTGGCTATCGTCAAAGCTGCTCACTTCGCCAGCGTTAGCGAGAAACTCGAGACGCGCGATGGCGAACGATATGTTTACAGACTAGCCAAAGCTCGCCATCGCCAGACCGAGGATATCGAGAAGTTTTTCGGCATTAATGACGAGAACGGGCGGCTCCTAATGGACCGCAAGAAGGCAGTAAAGCGATGGCACGACTACTTCGAGAAAATCTCGACAGTAGAATTCTCACATCCGCCAATCCCTTCTGCTCCTCCCGTCTACGGTCCCGTCTCGAAGATAACTGTGGAAGAAACTGAAGCGGCGCTGAAGAAGATGAAGACAGGTAAAGCAACGGGTCCCGACGACTTGGCAGCCGATCTGTGGAAGTCACAGTGCTGGAATCCTGCGGAGTGGTTGACGAAGTTCTTCAACCAAGTCGTTGCAGAAGAAGGTGCCTGAGAGTTGGCAACAGAGCACGACGATTCCCATCTGGAAGAAGAAGGGCAGTCCTGCAGACTGCACGAGCTACCGTCCAATTCGTCTGCTTTCGCACAGCATGAAGATATTTGAGCGAATTGTAGATCGTCGTATTCGCGACATAGTGCAGCTCGCCACGAACCAGTGTGGATTTGTAAGCGGCGTTAGTACCATCGATGCATACATGCCGCTCGTCTACTGCTAGAAAAACACCGCGAGAAACGGAAGCCTCTGCATTTTGCCTTCCTAGACTTGGAAAAGGCTTTCGATCGCGTTCCGCGTGATGTAATATGGTACGCTTTACGACAACATGGCGTCCCGAAGAGCTTATTGAGTGGGTTCGCATGCTTACTCGAGTCCAAAGAGCCGAGTGCAAACGGTCAGCAGGCACATCGATGGAATTTCCCATCTCTGTCGGGGTACACCAAGGCTCTGCGTTATCCCCACTCCTTTTGTTGTCGTCATGGATGCCATATCACGAGATCTTCCAGAAACCGGCTCCATGGACGCTTCTCTATGCTGATGACGTGATGCTCGCCTGCGAAGACAAAAACTCACTCGAGCAACAAGTGCAAGCTTGGTCCGATCGCCTAGCGATGTTCGGACTCAGGTTGAATGTCAAAAAGACCGAGTACTTGACAACCGACTTGAGCGAACACAGTTCGGTAAGAATTAACGGCACAGAGCTATCACGCACGACCACGTTCAAGTATCTTGGATCGGTAATAGCGTCAGATGGTAGTATGGGTACTGAAGTGAAGTTCACGCGTGAGTGCTGCATGGTCCAAGTGGCGTTCTATGACGGGTGTTCTCTGCGACAAAAGATTCCAGAACGCCTGAAATCGAAGATCTATAGAACCGTCATAAGACCAGTGGCAATTGTACGGCGCTGAGTGCTGGCCCACGACTAAGGAAATGAAGCCCGCCTCGGTGTAATGGAGACGAAAATGCTGCGCTGGACGGCTGGTGTCACGCGTTTAGATCGTATTCGTAATGATACCATACGAGATCGCTTTGGTGTAGCTCCATTGCTGATAAGATGCGCGAAGCTCGACTTCGATGGTATGGTCATGTGCTTCGTGGAAACGATGACAGTGTGCGTAAGATGAGCCTCAACATGACGTGCCCGGAAAACGGCCTAAGGGACGCCCAAAGCAGCGCTGGCTTGATACATTGCATATGGACTTAAAGTTAGCTGGTATCCATCCCGATCAGGCATTCAATAGGGAAAAGTTGCGTCAACACAGAGAAAGAAGAAGAAGAAAGGCTTATGGTAAGGAATTATCTTGTTTTACTAGAAAAATTCCCAGTCCGTTGCTTGTTCCGGAAATACGAACTTTGAAGTTGACGTCACGATTGGGAAAAGCACTGTAGTAAGTCCCTATGGTGCGTATTGAAGAGACAACTCTTAGCCAAAAACCTACAGCTGTCCAGTGTCTATGTTTTATGTTTATCACCTGCATCACCCGACGTCCCGTTGATAATCGAGCGGGCGCCAGCAACGTTTCCATTCGTCCCTGTCGCGTGCAAGAGTTGTCCAGTGGACCCTCCTCGCTCGAGGGACACGATGTTCTTCATTCCTTTCGTTCAGAGCTTTCGTGAAGAAGTCTGACCACCGGGCAGGTGATCGTCTAGGTCTTC